AAAAAAGAAAGTGACATCAAGGACTTTATCGTCTCCTTTTCTCCCAGGATTTTCATGGTTCGAGAGTTTACATGCACATCTGGTTTTAAATTTATTTTGAATTAAGTAGTTTTTTTGGGTTTTTTTAAACTGTACAAATGGGTTTATGTCTGGGTTGGTTTTTTGTTTGTTGGTTGGTTTTTTTTTTTTTGTTTTAGATTTATGTATTTATTTATATAAGCACTGGGTACAGTAAGAAGTGCAAGAGGATGAGAGAATTCACCAGAGCAAAGCGGAGAGCAGAACAGGCAGAGTGATGAAATACGCTACTGAAGGGAGCAGCAGGCGGCAGGAGAGGTCTGAGCGCCATGTGGGACCCTCGCCCAGCCGCCAGGGATTGAACCAGCGCTGCAGAGGCTGCAGGCAGCTTCTCAACCCAAAGCTCAACCGATGAGCCACCGGGGAGGCCCATCTGGGTTCTTTAGTCCACTGAGATGCATTTCTTTTTATGATGATCCCATATTGCTCTGCTTACCACAGTATTGTAGTATAGTTTGAAGTCAGGAAGTATTATGCTTCCAATTTTATTGTTCTTCATTGCTGTGCTTTGGTTAATTGGTGTGGGATGCTATATAAAATTTTGGAATTTCTTATGTGAAAAATACCATTGGAATTTTGGTGGTATTTAGGTAAACTGTACATAGATTGCATTGAATATATATATATTAATTTGGGCATCTGATGATTTTTAAATTATTCACAAACAGAACCTTTTTGGACTCTTTATGTCTTCATTTTCTTTTATCATTTCAGTTTACAGGTTTCTAGGAAGCTTATTCTTGATGCATTTATCAATGGAATTTTTTAATTTCTAATTTTTAATGTATCTGCAGCTTTGCTGAATGTGTTTATTAGTAGTTTTTGCCATAATTAGCTGTTGAGAGTCAGAAGCCTTCTGTTCGCTTTGTGCATATGCTATATATTACATTTATTGATTTGCATTTCTTGAATCTGCCTTGCACCCTGAAATCTACTTGATTCTGGTAAATAGTCTTTTTAGTATATTGTTGTGTTTGGTTTGCTATTTTGTTGAAGATTTTTTTTTTTAAAGATTTATTTGTTTATGCATACTAGAACTGGGGTACAGGCCAGAGGTGTGGGGGGTGAGAGGATTCACCAGAGACAGTGTGGGGAACAGAACAGGCAGACTGACCTGCTGAGGGGAGCAGTGGGCAAACCAGGAGAGGTCTGCTGCGCCTTGTGGGTTGCTCCCTAGCTGGGGATTGAACTCGTGGTGCAGTGACTGCGGGTAGCTTCATAGTGTGGTGCTTAACCCCTTGTGCCGCCAGGGAGGCCCTTGTTGAGGATATTTTTAATCTAACTTTGTTGCATCATGTAACATCACACTATCAAAGAAATAGGGTCATGGAGCAAGCTGTTAAGGCAGGATGCTTCTGAAAAGGTGAAACCTGGTCTTTATATTGATTGAAAGATTTGACAGAGTCAGTTACTTGGAGCAGGAGAACTCAGAGAAAAGTTAGAAGGAAGCAAATGTATGTTTAGGTTATCTAGACTTTGGGGGAGATGAGTCTGTGGATCAGGGTTAGTTTTATATCCCAAGTTTGAAGATCAAAATCAAGCTTCTCACCTCCTCATTGTTCCCATTTTATCTGGGACAAAGTAACGTAACAGTCCATAGCTCCCCAGGAATTCCTGCGCCCTGTGATGTATACTCACTGTCCCTGGGGGTTAAGCATCCTGCTTTTGTTTAACTTGAGTGGAATCTTTGCAGGGTCAGTGGTTTGCATTCTTTAAGTTTGGATAATTGATTGAGTGGACCAAATGGACTTTGTATGGGAGAGGCCAAAGCTGCATAGTGAGGTGGCAATTTAAGCAGCCACATGTGTTATAAGGAATATTGATTTTCAACTTTATGTAGTAATCTGTAACTTTTTCTTGTAGTGTCCTCAGATGTTGGTATTAGAGTTAGCACTGGTCCAATGCAGTGAATTTGGAAGTTGCCATGAGGCTTACATGAAATATTTTAAAACCGTTTTAGCTGATATCATAACTTCAGTTGTATACAAAATGAACACTTAATTTTCTTGCAGAGAAGTGTTTTCAAATCTTTGGCCGTATTTTACTGTCCCTCCTTCCACATCTTATGTTAATTGATGTCAAAGTTTGCATCATTTTGTATCCATAAACAAATTACTGTAGCTGGTTTTTTTTTAACCTTGGTCTTTCCGTTTTTTACACTAAGCTATAGTTATTTATACAACACCATGACAGTATTAGAATATATTGAATTTGGCTATCTTTCTGACTTAAGTTTTATAGTTTAAAATGTTTTTTTATTCCTCACCATGTTCTTTTATTTCAGCAAGAAGAATTCCTTTAGCAATTCTTATAAGGCAATTCCTTCTAGTGATGAAATCTCTACTTTTGTTTGAGATGTCGCTATAGTTTTCTACATTTTTGAAAGAAGTAGGCATAGTATGCCAGGTTAACAATTTTTTACTTTATGTCCTCCATTCACTCTTGATATGTCAGATTTCTGCTGAAAAATCCTCTCAGTCTTTTTTGGGGACTTCTTGTATATAATGAATCAGTTTATTCATGCTTATTTTCATTTCCAGTTCATTCTTCAGCTGCAGAATTACAGTTTTCTTCATTTCTTTTCACATTTACCATTTTGTTTATGAATTTTATTCCAGGGCATTGTCTATGTTCTCTTAGAGTCTTCCTTCACCTATTTTTTTTAATTATTATTTTGAATTATTTGTCATAGATATCAAGTTAGTTAATGATGGATTATTTTATCTTTTGTTAAATTTGGCAACAAATACTTCCCTGACTACTTATATTCCATTTTTACATTTAAGTTTTTACATTTAAGTTTATATGAGGAATAGTCATTTTTACATTTAAGTTTATATGAGGAATAGTCACATCTTCTAGATTCTACATTCTGTAAATACCTTCCACTATAAGTGGGTACAATAAATATATCTGCAGAAAGTCATCCTTCTCTTTGTAATGGTCATTCATTTCATTTTTCTCTTATTATTATATTCACCAATTTTTCCTAATACTTATTTTGCAGACATTATCTATTGATCAGTTAACAATAAGAAAGTAAAAGATTTTATATTTCAGTTTTCCTTTCCTCACATAGATCCAAGTTTGTAATTTCTATAGATATATTTCCTCTTCCTAAAGAATTTCTTTTTATGTTAATTGCAAGAGAGATCTGCTGGCCCCTGACACCTCATTTCTTCTTGTCGGCAAGTCTTTTTTTCCCTCCATTTAAACGGTTCTTCTGTATTCAGAAATCTTAAGTTGATATAGTTTCCCCTCCCCTCAACTTTAAATATTTCACTCCTTTTTTGCTTTTATGGCTGTTTTTCACTAAATCAGACTAAATTGTGATGACGTATAAAAATAAGAAAGATCCAGGGCTTCCCTGGTGGCGCAGGCAGTTGAGCGCCTCACTGTGAAGCTGTCCACAGCCTCTGCAGCATGGGTTTTATCCCCCCCCAGCCAGCAAGAATCCCACATGGCGAGCAGATCTTTTCTGTCTCACCCGCTGCTCCCCTCAGCAGTGTATTTCATTTCAGTCTGCCTGTTCTGTTCCCCAGTCTGTCTCTGGTGAATCCTCTCACCCTTCTGCACATCTGGCCTTACTCCGGTTCTTGTATAAATAAATAAATCTTTTTTTAAAAAATCACAAAAAAAAAAATTATTAAAAAAAATTATAAAATTATACTGAAGAAAGACCCAGTAAATTCATAAATCATATATCAATCTTTGGAAAAAACAAGATTTTGTTATTTTGGGGCTTTCCTAATGACCCAATGTGCAACCTATGATGCTCGCTGCAGCCACTGCAGCATGAGTTCAATCCCTGGCCAAGGAACTATCCACATGGTACAGCAGACCTCTCCTGGCTGGCCTGCTGCTCCCCTCAGCAGTGTTTCAGTAGATCCACCTACTCTACCCCCCGATCTGTCTCTGATGAATCCTCTCACCCTCCCCAAATCTCTGGCCCACACAGTTCTTGTATACATAAGTAAATAAATTTTAAAAATATTATAAGTGTTTGATTGCTTATGATACCCGAAATTCCTCTTTCTCCCTCCAAATTTCTAAACTCTGATCCTTTGATTTACTGTGTCTATGTATGGCTCAGCTATAATCTTTGCTTCTGACTATGGTTTTTTAATCACATTACTTACAAGAATTTATTTTTTATCAATACCTGCCATTTTCTAAAGTAAGTTCTGAGAAAACAAAGATGAGTGTTCTCTATTTTCATTTTCAGAAAGTTTAGATAGACAAAATAGAACAAACACAGTAGTTTGTAAACAAGGACTATTTTGCTTTTCCCAGAACAGGAAATTAGGGCCTATAATTGGGAACATGGTCATTACCACACAGGCATAGGAGTGTGAGGATAACTCAGAACAATTTTCCTATCATTTTAAGCTGACATTTTCTAGCTTTGTTATTTTACTTTTTGGTTAATTTATATAGACTTCTGTTTTTTATGTTCATATTCCAATGTTTCTGTAGAAGGATGAGAACTTGAATCTGGCCATTCTGCAATTTTTCTTATGTAATTATTTTTTGAATTATTACTCTACTGTTTTTAATTTCAGAATTCATATTTAAGAAGTCTGTGTTTTAGACTGCCATTGCAATCAATAAAATTCTTAAATAGGACATTAGCCATCTAACTTCATTTCCCAGATGTTAACTTTTGTTTATAAGTAATGTGAATCCTGTGTAAAATTCAGTATAATTTAGCTTTATGTAAGTCAAATCTTAATAAATTTAACCCAGTAATTCACAATTTATTTGGTGGTAACTTAAACATTCAGCTGTTTATCTTTTTTACATTGCTAAGTGCTAATGTGTGCTTGTAATTTTAATATTTCTTTCCTGTTAAACCATTTTTAAAATGTGATGGTCTTTTTTGTGACGATAATATATAAAATAGAAAAATGTCTTTGTTTCAGAACTGTTCGACAGTTGGCACAGGAGCAATTTTTTTTAATGTGCACCAGATGTTGCATGGGACACAGACCTTTGCTTTTCTTCATTACTCTGCTCTTTACCATTTTGCGGGTGAGACATTTTTAAAATGAACTTACTGATAATAATTCATTAACATAAGCAATGTTCAGAAATGTTCATTAACATGAGGAATGTAAATATTACAGTTAAAAATTTTATTAATTTGTTCTATGTTTACTAAACAGAATAGTTAGAAATTAATTATTATACTATTTTATAGATGGATGTTTTTGTTTTGCTTTTATAATTTTTTTAAATTTACTTATTTATGCATACAAGAGCTGGGGTACAGGCCAGAGGTGAGGGGGGTGAGAGAATTCACCAGAGACAGACTGGGGAACAGAACAGGCAGATTGACTGAAATACACTGCTGAGGGGAACAGTGGGTGAGTCAGTAGAGCTCTGCTGTGCCATGTGGGTAGCTCCTTGGCCGGGGATTGAACTCATGCTGCAGTGGCTAGTGATAGCACTGTGCCACCAGGGAGACCCTGCTTTTTATAAATTTTTGAGGGGAAAGAGTATGTGACCTTCTAAAAAAACAGAATTCAAGGGTCTTCCTATTTTATGTCATTGATGAAAGTATTGCCACTTCATCTACTAAATCTCTCAGTTTTAAATGAAAATTTCTAAGCAGAATGCACATTCATCTTATTTGAATTGTTATGTTTCAGAGCACAGCCAGAGAAAAAGGTAAAGATTCTGGTGATTATTTTATTCTACTACGGCACCTTCTTAATTATGCTTACAATAGCAATATTAATTTACCCAATGCTGAAATTCTTCTCAACAATGAAATTGATTGGCTTAAAAGAATTAAGGTAAGTTGTATATCATTTAATAAATTACTGTTTGAGTCCATTGCATGATTGGATTTAACCCAAAAAACCCTGGGAATAATCAAATTTTGATAGGTAAATTAATAACTCATTTCTTCAAAGAATGTACGATAAATGCCTTCCTTTGGCTGGAGCTCAATGTAATTTCCTCCATTTGGGGACTTTCTGTCCTTATCACATATTATTTACCATATTTAATGACAAAGCTTCAAGAAAATTTTTTATCAGTCTAGCAGATCAGCATTTCCATTTAGCCACTTGAGTACTTTTACTTTATATATAGAGAGTTCTGAGGATGTATTTCTGAAATGCATAGCTTTTGACCTCAGGGTAGCATACTTCTAGTGATGTAAAGTCTATTCTAGAAGAATTTCTCAGCCTTGGTACCATTAACATTTGGACCAGATTGTTCTTTGTTTTTAGGAGCTGTGTTGTGCACATGGGATATTAAGCGATAGTTGCCATAGTAATTCTCTTTCTACCCACTTGTGAAAAACAAAAATAGCTGCAGATACCACTAGTGTTCTTTGGGGCAAAATTGCCCACATTTACTGTTTGAGAGAGTTTGTAGAAGAAAATAACAGTAGAGTGGAAAGTTTGGGGGAAATTGTTATTTCCTTTCCCCTTCTAGGTTCAGACTTCTTGCTGTAAATTAAACATATTTTTTTCTTTGACAGGATAATGTGAAAAACACAGGTGAAACAGGTATTGAAGAACCCATGTTAGAAGGCCATCTTGGACTAACAAAGGAGTTGTTGGCATTTCAAACAACTCAGAAAAAGTATCATATTGGGTGTGAAAAAGGAGGTGCTAATCTCATTAAAGTAAGTTCTAAAATTTGGTGCTAAACTAGTATTCTCACCTTTTAAATGTTTGTCATAAATGGAACTGATTGACCTATAGCTGTGGTATTACATGTCTTCATTACCATTTTGGCCATTTTTATTATTTACTTCGTAAAAAGCCCATCATTTTTAGTTGATTATGTACAAGTTTTAATTACTTACAAGTCAGTTCATAAGCAATATTATTTGGTTTTACTGTTATTAAAAATCTGAATTTTTACTTGATCAGATTTTTAAAATAAGGAAAACAGAAATCTGGCAAGACTGCATTTTAACATGTTTCTTTTCTGAGCAACAGCTAGTTCAAGAAAAGGAGTATCTTTATAAAATACTTTATTTTTACTTAAATTCAGTTTGTACTAGAATTTATTTTCTCTTAAATTACCAGCCTTTTAACTTCTTAAATTACCTAAAATTGAGTATATTTACTATAGTTGGTATTTTGGAGTAAAATTTTATTTGCTATTGCACACCTGTTTTTGAGATGTAAAAAAAACTTTTCTTTTAATTTCCTTTGAAGGCTTTTTTTTTTCCTAAAATACTTAATATAGCTAATAACATGTAATCTGTTTTTCAATTCTTTAGGAATTAATTGATGAGTTCATCTTTCCTGCTTCCAAAGTTTACTTGCACTGTGTTAGAAATGGAGAAATGCCAGCAGAGCAGGCTATCCCAGTCTGTAGTTCACCAGCTACCATCAATGCTGGTTTTGAACTACTTGTAGCCTTAGCTGTTGGCTGTGTAATGAATCTCAAACAAATAGTAGACTGTTTGACTGAAATGTATTACATAGGCACAGCAATAACTAGTAAGTATTTTTATTTGTGAAACTATTTTTGTTGGTTGAAAACATTTCCAAGTTTAAAATTCTGGAATTTTTTATTTCAAGAATGCTTAATTTGTGTTTGTTTCCTTATAGCAATTAGAAAATAGTTTTATAATTTATTTTAAAGATGAACTAGGGTACAAGCCAAAGATGTGGGGGGGTGAGAGGATTCACCAGAGACAGACTGGGTAACAAAACAGGAGGATTGAAGGAAATACACTGCTGAGGGGAGTGGCAGGCGAGTCAGGAGAGGTCTGCTGCGCCATGTCAGTCGCCGCCCTGGCTGGGGATCGAACTTCTGCTGCTGTAGCTGTGAATAGCTTCATAGGTTGTGTCTTAACCTCTTGCGTCACCAGGGAGGCCCCATTTTTATAATTTTAGTAAGATAATTAAGACCAATATAAGCACATAATAAGATAATACAAATGCCAGTGCATTCCTATTGGTTCCTATTCAGTTAACTGTGCCAAATGTCATTTTCTTTTACTTAATAAACTCCAGATTCCAGATTTGTCAAATTTGATGCTACAGATATTCATACATAAAAGACATGTGGGAAAGAATTTTTACTCCAAGTCTAAGAAAATTAAAGTTAATAGAAGATAACATTTAAGTGCACTTTATTTTGTTTTCAACAAATACTCCCATTGGTTCCATGAGGTTCATACCTGTCTTTAGATCTTAAAAGAATTGAAACTTAGAACAGTAGTACAAGTAAAATGACAGAAAATAACAACACTAAATATGTTTAACTTTAAGAGACAACCAGGATTTAAGAACAGAATAACTTTAAGAGACAACCAGGATTTAAGAACAGAATTTGGTATAAATCTCTAAGAGCACTAAAATTATCTTTTTTTTTTTTTTTTTTAACAGAGGCATGTTTTTTAATTTATTTATTTATTTATTCATTTGTTTGTTTTGTTTATACATGCACTGGGTACAGTCAGAAGCGCGGGAGGGTGAGAGAATTCACCAGAGCCAGAGCGGGGAGCTGAGCAGGCAGAAGGACCGAAGTACACTGCTGAAGGGAGTAGCTGGCGGCAGGAGAGGTCTGCACGCCATGTGGGACCCTCCTCCGGTGGCTGGGGAGCAGCCGGGGATGGAACCGGCGCTGCAGAGGCTGCTGGCAGCTTCGCAACCCAGCGCTCAACCGCTGCGCCACTGGGGAGGCCCAGCACTAAAATTATCTTATGCAGCTTTCAGAGGATAAAAGTTATAGTCACATTGTAGGAGTTTTTAGTTAAATTTCTCTGTTTTCTGGGAATCTATAATGGATAGAGAAGAGATTCTTGAATCTATAATGCATAGGGAAGAGATTCTTGAAATTTTGCTTTTGCTCATTTAACTCACAGATTTTATCATTATACTTTTCACATATGAAAGAAAATGTATATTGAAAAATATTAACTTCCTACCCATTCCTGGTTCACAGATTATTTTTTATTTATTAAGATTTTTTATTTATTTGTGCATACAAGAACTGGGGTACAGGGCAGAGGTGGGGGGCGGTGAGAGGATTCCCCAGAGACAGAGTGGGAACAGAACAGGCAGGCTGACTGAAATACACTGCTGAGGGGGCAAGTCAGGAGAGGTGTGCTGTTCCATGTGAGTAGCTCCCTGGCCAGGAATTGAACTTGTGCTGCAGTGGGTGCAGATAGCCCATAGTGCTGTGACTTAACCCCTTGCGCCACCAGGAAGGCCTCACAGATTATTTTTATAAATGCAAGTTATAATAATTACATTTCTTAATTTTTATGTACAGATGTTTTTCACTTTGTTTAGTTTTCTAGTTACTAACATACCTGTTTGTACATAAAAGCCTAATTCTATTTATTGGCTCTAAAATGTGCAGTTGCATATATTTTAATTAAATAATCTGTCTCCATGATATGCTATTTGATTTTTTTTTTAAACTTGATTTTATGATAGGTAGAGGGGTTATGCTGTGATGTACAGTTCTCACATAACATTCATACACACCTTGTGGACCCCATAATACAGCTGTGCATATGTTCAAAACTGTTTTTACCCTTAACCATTTTATACATGAAGGAAACAGATTTTCATATGAAGGTGTATTTTTTTGTGATTTGGAAACATGACATAAACCTGGTGGCTCACTTTATTTAAATGAAATTCTGACCCCCCCCCCCCAGGAATCAATTCTTAAAAGGTTTTTTTGTTTGTTTGTTTTTTAAGGATTTATTGATATATTTATACAAGCACTGGGTATAGTCAGAAGCTCAGGAGAGTGAGAGAATTCACCAGAGCCAGAGCAGGGAACAGAACGGGCAGGCAGACTGAGGAAATACACTGGTGAGGGGAGCAGCAGGTGCGGCAGGTCAAGCCATGTGGGACCCTTGCCAGCAGCCGGGAATGAACCCGTGCTGCAGTGGCTGCAGGCAGCTTAACAGCCCAGCGCTCAAGCACTATGCCACCAGGGGAGGCCCCCAAAAGTAAAAAGGTTTTAAAGAGAAACTTTAATTTCTTTTTTAAATAATTAAGTGTATTTAATAATTAAGTGAAGTCAAAACTATATGTACACAAAGAAGTTGAGTAGTGCACAGTACATCTTAAGAAGACAATCAGAAACAGCTTCAATAAAAGTTTTGTGGTGAGGACATGAAGTAAAAATTTAGCATATTCTTCCAGGGTAGTTTGAATGGTGATAGAATTGTGGCTAATATTAGTTTACTAGGACTAAGAATATTTGCATGTTATAAGAATCTTTTCTTTTCAGCTTGTGAAGCACTTACTGAGTGGGAATATTTACCACCTGTTGGACCCCGTCCGCCGAAAGGATTTGTGGGACTCAAAAATGCTGGTGCTACTTGTTATATGAACTCTGTGATTCAGCAGTTATATATGATTCCCTCTATCAGGAATAGCATTCTTGCAATTGAAGGCACAGGTAGTGATATAGAAGATGATATGTTCAGTGATGAGAAACAAGACAATGAGGTAAAAGTTTTGATTATAAGTTCTCTGTTTTGAGATTCAGATACCAAATAATTCTTTTTGCTCTTAGATATTGCACTTATTGCAGGGATTTTTGCAATTGCTTTTGTGATAGACAGTATTCTGAGGTAATATCTTTGTATATCATGCTCATTTTATCCGTTTTTTTTAATTAACATTAATGTATTCATGTTTTACTAGGTGAAATAAAGTTATAAATGCTTCTTTTTTGATAAGTAACATATTTACCTTTTGAAGTGTAGTGCCCCACGTAGTTTATTCTTTGTTTCATGATCTGTTCTCAGTATATTCTGAATATTCTTCTCATAACTTAACCATGTCAAGTAAACAGACTTGTCCACCACTTTAAATAATGCCACAAAGTATTGTTAATACTGTTGCTTATAAAAACAAATAATCAAACTACCTAACAAAAATATCTAAGTCAGAATAAAATGATAGAAGTGCTAGTTGCAAATACCGTTATTCACCATGAACATCTAAGATCCTGCTCTTGAACACATAAACATTGGAAGGCTTGGGTTTTGGATATGTTTATATCAAAATTTGATCTCTTATTTTTTCCTTATTATAAATGCATAGAAAGTTTAAGGAAGACAGAATTTCTAATCATAATAAATGGTTATGCCTCTTTTCTGAATTTCTTCTGTCTACTGGTCAAAAATAGACTCTCCAATAGGAACCCATAAATTACAGAAATTCTGAAAAATACACATGCCTTCTCTCTTCTCAGATATGATAAATGACACATCCAGGCATTGGAGTAGCATTGCTTTTTTTAGAATCCTTTTTTGTTTGCCCAAACCAGTATCTGCTTAAGAAGTACTATTTGTTAGAATTTAAATTCTAATCATGAGTTAAACATAAATGGAGATTGCTGATCTTACTAACAAGAGGAAAATAAGACAAAATTTCAAATTAGGCATACTACCTTTGCTGCTGAATACTCAGTACTTCATGTTGTCTAAAGATTGCATGCAGTTGTGAACCTACTTACTAGTTTATTTTCCTGGACTATGAACATCTTAGTGGCAAGAGCTTGATGTTACTTATTTATATAACATACATCTCAGGCACAGAGCTAAAAATATAAAAACATATTCTGCTGTCTATCAAACAACTAACATCTGCTTTGTTGAGTGATTAAGACCTTTAGAATACCTGTTATGTTATACATTTTAGAATACCTGTTATGCTACTGTTAATAAAACTCTTAGCCTCTTTATTATTAATTCTGATCATGTCACAGTTTGTCTCTGAGAGCACATAAAGAATGTAGTTGTCTCCACAAGAATAAATTAAATACTAGAAAGGCTATTTTCTTAAGGTAGTTATGGAAACACTTTTAGTTTGGATATACTGAATATAAAATAATATAAATAATTCACTATGTATTTGTCTCATTTATGGTACTTTAAAAAATAGATTAGCTCACAAATAATATTATTTGGTCTCTAGACTAATGTAGATCCTCGAGATGATGTATTTGGATATCCTCATCAGATTGAAGACAAACCAGCATTAAGTAAGACAGAAGATAGGAAAGAATACAATATTGGTGTCCTAAGACATCTTCAAGTCATCTTTGGTCACTTAGCTGCTTCCCAACTTCAATATTATGTACCTAGAGGATTTTGGAAACAGTTCAGGTAAATTATGGGTGGGTAATTTCAACTTACAAATATCTAAATATTACTTAAGCTTCTAAAATATATGTTAAAACATATTATTTAATACTAAAAGAAAGTAATATTTTTAATATCCTAGGTTTTTTTTTAATCATTGTTTCAATGGAAGGCAAAAATAAAGGCAGTATTCTTTACTCTCTTAAGTATAATTTCTTGTTTCAGAAAACTTCTAAATTATACAGAAACAAAACTAAAATTTAGTCATATCCTTGATGTATTAATCCTCCCATGAATCAAATATCAGACATTTTTGATATTCATGATTTACATTACTTTGTAAGCGTCATTTGACAAACAAGTTTCTCTTTCTCTTTTTTGTGGGGAGAGGTCAGAATTTAAAGAGGTTTTTGGTATTGTTGTTTATTAGCTGTTTTCACCTATGAAGAAACCAGGTAGTTGGTCCTGATACTTCTCCCACTGTCTGAATCTTCCCAGATGCATTCTTGTGGGTTTTCTTCTGCTGTCTCTGTAATTTCCAGGATTGTGAATATACAGCATTTGTTTTTATTGTTCTGACTTACTTTACATAAGACTCTCAAACTCCCTAAATTTTGTTGAAAATGACTGCATTTCATCCTTTCTTATGTCTGTATATGCCATGATGTGAATGAATATACTTACACCTTCTTGATCCAGTCATTCATCAACAGTCACTTAGGCCATTTTCATGTCCAGCTGTTGTAAACAGTGGTATTCTGAATATTGAGGAACCTGTGGGGTTTTGTGTTGATGATTTATATTCTATGGGTATATGCCCAAGAATGGAAACACACATATGGTATCTCCATTTTTAATTTCTTCACGTAAATCCATAAAAGTTGCATCAGTTTATACTCCCACCAGCAGTGAACTGAGGTTGGTATTTCTCCATCCCTTTCCATCACTTGTCATTGGAGGTCTTTAACGTGTGTTCCCTTAGGTGTGAGGTGGTCTTTCATTGTGGCTTTGATCTGTATCTAAGAGGTGACAAGAGACATCTTTTCATATGCCTTTCTAGATATCCTCTTCAGTTAATTTGCCTGTTTGTAGCTATTGCCCGTTTTTGTTAAGTGGGTTTTATTTATTGACTTGTATATTTTTTTTTCTGTATCTTTGAATCTAATCCCTAATATGTTAATACAGTGTGTGAGTATTTTCTCCCATCCCATAGAATGTCTTTGTAAAATAAACATCTAATATGTTCATTCACTATATAGAAACTTTTTTTTTAACATTTTAGAAGGATAGGTTTATTAGGAAAGGGAGAAAAAAAGGGACACCTGCATAGTCAATGTGGACAGGGGAACTGATGGAAATATCTCTATTTTAGTTATTTAATTAGGTTTTGATTCATTTAATAATTGATAATCTGAAACATGTTTTCCCCTATGTAGTTTATTGTTGTAGATCTTATATCCAGATCTTTAATATATTTGGAATTTATTTTTGTGGTGAGATTAGCAGGTGATCCAACTTCTTTTTTTTTCCTCTGGCTTTCCAGTTTTCCCAACTGTCCTTTTCTTCATTTTTATGTTCATGGCAGATTTATCATAGATTAGGTCCCAGTACATATATTTGTTACTTCTAGACTTTCAGTTATATTCTGTTAATCCATATATTTATTTCTGTGTCAGTACCGTGTTGGTTTTAGTACTACTGCTTTATAGTAAAGAGTGAAGAAGGGTAACATGATCTCCATTTCTTTTATTTTCTTTTTATTTTTTTTTTTAAAGATTTATTTATTTATTCATACAAGCACTGGGTACAGTCAGAAGTACAGGAGGGTGAGAGAATTCACCAGAGACCAGAGCGGAAACAGAGGAGGCAGAAGGACCAAAGTACACTGCTGAGGGGAAGCAGCGGGCGGCAGGAGAGGTCTGCCCGCCATCTGGGACCCTCCTCCCGTGGCCGAGGAGCAGCCAGGGATGAACCAGCGCTGCAGAGGCTGTGGGCAGCTTTGCAACCCAGCGCTCAACCGCTGCGCTACCAGGGAGGCCATGATCTCCATTTCTGACCATTATTCTCAGGGTCACTTTTCCGTTTGAGGCCTCTTATGAATTCATACAAATTTCATTAGCATTTTGTTCATTTTCTTTGAAAAATATTGCTGGAATTTTAATAGCAACTATGTTAAATTTACATATTTTAGGCAACATAGTGTTTACTT